ACAGTGTTTTCTTAGAAAGGAAACACTTCATACACTATGCATTATGAAACAATGGAAGTAAGAAGGAGAGAGTAGAGTCCAAATAATTGTAAAATTCATGCAATTTTCTCTAAAAGCCTGGATACCTATGATTTTTATTCCTAAAATGTATTTCTTGATCAATTATCAATTAAAAAATATGCAGGAGGTAGTTCAAATCGCATTTCCTGAAAAATAATTCGAGATTTACTAATTTTCCCTATATAATATGATTAAATTTAAAGATGAATTTTCAAGAAGCACCGTGGGTAAATACATTTTAATTTGAGAATTAGAGACATCTTTGTAAGCATTTTCAATTACTCAGTGCCTGATTTTCAGAACCTGAGGATCGGATAACCTTAACTCGGGATTTTAGGAGCCTTTTTCGAGTTCGTCAGAAGGCAAACTTTCCATCTCTACAAATCTCACGTTTTTTTTTAAATATCCAGCTTATTCTTCTTCTGTTGCATTATTTTTGTCACGAATGATAGAGGAAAGGCCGATCGGGATACATATATAGATGACGGACTTTAACAGAGAATATAATTAATCGATAAAAATAAATTTGCATACATGTTAAATTAACTATCACCATATGAATTTCCTATAATATTCACGATATTTCCTTTTGAAACTCCATTTTACGTATCTTTGTACATGCCATCTTAGCCAAATTCTCTTTTCACGACATGATCAATTCCCAAGTTAATTGATGAACACATAAGACGTTATCGGTGGTAGATTTTAATCAAAATGAAAGGTACAGCCTAACAAATTAAAAACATTTTATTTTTGTTAATATTTACAAATTACTATTCATTATCTAGAATCAAATTAATTACATATCTAAATACCGATACTACGAAAACTTGTGTTCTAAAATTGACGTCATCTCGCTAACCATGACGTCATGATGTAGCACTGATTTAGTCAAGCTAGAATATTTTGTATGCTTCCTTATTACCCCTGCGTGGTTAATCAAGGTGCGTTGAGTAGTAAAATAAAGCTAAACTAACGTATTCAAACGCAGAGCTTAGTCAAAACTAATATGCATTAACCTTTTCAACCTTAATGATAATTATTTTGAAATATTTATACAATAAATTCTGATTTATGGGAGAGATATGACCAGAAGTATATCTGTTGAATATTAAACATAAACATGTATACTGTGTCTTAGCAATCTCTTTGTTTGTTGTGAAAATATCTCTCTCGGGAATTTTTCACTCATATGCAGACACCACCTCTTAAAAATAACAAACTTTTTAAAGACAAGATGTGTTTGTGAAACAATGACGCCCCGTATGGCAGCTTTTGGCGAAGGTTGAAGTTAATTATATTTAAGTCAAACACTAAGGTCAAGGTAAAGGGTCATAATGTTGATATCAAAAGGCAAGTCTTGTCTCAAGGAATAAAGATGTGAAAAAGAGAGAAATCCCTGCACTGTACTTTGTGTTCAGAAGTTAATGTCAAGGTTAAAGTTTTTTTAAAGTGGATCAAAGTATAGTGTCAAGGTCAAAAATATTTACACCTGTTGAAAGTTCACAATGAATACACATATTAAGCATGAAAGCCCTAGCACCAACTGTTCAAAACTTAGGCCAATTCTAAATTTGATATTTTTCTTGTAAAAGTGGATCAAAGTCCAAGTTCAGGAGATCAAGAGGTAAAAATTGGTGGTACCCAAATAAAAGATATTGTCACAAGGAATTTACCTATGAAATTGGGAAGCCATGCGTATAGCCAAACTTAGAAGAAACAGACATAATATAACTACAAGCTAGAAACAATTTAAATATGTAATTTAAATATGTAGAGTGAAATGGACAAATTTTCTAGTACTTTTGAATCACAAGATCATTCATCATTTCAGGGACAGGGAGTGGCTAGGCAGATCGGACCCCTCTCCCCCTCTGGAACTTGCAGAGTAGTTTAAATAGGACTGTATACTGAAGCAAATTAAATGGACTTTGGACGCAAACCCACCACCCCCCTCCAAAAAAACATGAACCCTTCCGCCATTGTTTTATTTTGTTTTGTTTTTTTATGGTTTTTTCTTTGCTTCTTGAAATTCTGGGCTAATTTTTTGACTGAGATGTAAAGCACCTCCCTCCCTCCCCCCCTCCTCCCAGAAAAAAAATGATTTGCGCCTGTAACTGAAGGTCACTTCGACAACAGGAGATAACCTAAGGCATGCGATTGACCCTTTTTGAAACTGGACCTAGCAATGTGCATTACGCTTAATTTTACTCAAATCTATGCATAAACTTATACTTACCGACTGTCATAGGTCCTCTCAGTTTCTAGAAATAAAATCCAATTAAATCACAAAATGAATTATTTCAACTGATATATACACGCAATACTGCGCCTTCACTATGTGGTAGCTTATTCGGCAAACCTTGGCTGATAAATTCGTCTTCATCAGATGAAATACGAATCGACCAAGGTTTGCGGAGTGGTGATATCTAAACATGATAATGGGTGACGCAAACCCTATAAATGATGTAGAAATTTCAAAAAAGGTTCACATGCATATATAGTACAAAAACAGATTTTAAGTTATCATCACAAATGATGTTTTAACACAACGTTGTCATCTAGGCCTATTTCAGAAAAAAAAAACCTCTGAGTGTGCGTATATATGTTGGGGTTTGTTGACAAAATTGATTGTGTTTGATTTTCAAGGGTTTTTTTTTTTTGCCTGACTAAATACTAAAAAAAGTTAATACATTTTGATAAAGAACTATATGCGGTATTAACCAACATTTGCCCCCCAAAATCAAACTTTGATGGAGTAATATTTAATTCAGTCCTTAAACAGGGGAGTATATGCTGACTTCAAAGCACTAAATAATTTCATAAGTAATGACGTCATATGTATGTAATGACGTCACAAATATGACGTAAATTTCAGTTTTTTAAGAATTTTGCAGAAAAATGTACATATTTCGTCGATATTTTAAACAAAAGTCACCGAGCGCATGTGTGTTCAGGATAAATATTTTGATATAATGTGTAGAATGATAATATCAATGAAATATGTCAATATTGTTCCTGAACACACATGCGCTCTATAAATTTTAAAGCTTAAATTGTTGAAATTTTGTCCATTTTGTCCTTTTTCTGAAAAAGGATAAAAAATCGGACTAGTTTGTGACGTCATAAAAACAGAAATTGTGAATACACTGCTCTGGAACTATAATATTTTCTGTTAACTTATATTTCTCGTACAATTTATTGAATTCAGCACATTTCAGGAAGTTTTCAAAATTTGACTTTTGTGGGGGCAAACATATGCAATATACCGCATATAGTTCTTTATCAAAACGTTTTTTACTAGGCCTAAAATAAAGTAATTGTTCTTAAGAAAAAAAATCTAGAAAGTGCCAACATTATTGGCAAAAAACTTATCAAAATTTAATTTTATCATTAATTAAATTCTGTTATTTCGGACTGGTAACGAGTTTAGTATATGAAATACAATGTCATGTAAAAGGCTCATTTATAACCTGAGAATTTTATGCTCGATTAGGCGAATACATGTACTGGGTAAATCATAGAAATATTCTGACTTTTTCCTTGGAAAGTCGTAAATGAAGGAGTGTTAATACCTTAGTGCAGGTATAACTGTCCCCATTTAGTCCTTGGACTTGCAGCATTCTCCACACTAACTAATGCACGTTTCTTATTGGTTGTGAGCTCATCAATATTCATAACAACACAAACAAGTAGGATAGTGTCCGTTATTTTACTTTTGAAAGTATTAAAATCCCAAATATTGGATGTTAAAATGAGTGGTCAACAGTACAATTACTTTCAAATATGTAGATTGCATTCTAGTCAGCCCAGTTGTAAAGCTTTTTTTATACAGGATAAACTTAAGATGAGAGCTGGATAGAGAGAGAGAGAGAGAAAGAGAGAAAGAGAGAGAGAGAATACATAAACACTCCGAATCAAGCTATTTAGTTAAGCTTCTATTTAAAGGGAACCTTTAGTTTCTAACCAAAAATATTACGAAGTTGAATTTCATTATGACTTTTTAAGAGGGACCACCGTCGTGTAGATTATGGTGATGATTTTCAATAAACGACCGACTTCTATATACATACTGCATTCACATATCCCCAAACCAAATTTTACACTGTTTAACTATAAGGCTAGAATGTAGTCTGATCGTCATTTTTAAAAATTGATTTTAAATTCGATAAAATTACATAGCACGACAAATTGAAATTTATACAGACTGTCATTCACTGTAGAAATATACATGGATTAAGAATTCTGGCGAATGTCAACGAATGTAGCAAAGATCCATTGACAACCGTTTGTATTGCAATTGATGGGGCTTAAGTCATCTCATTGGTGTCAATAAAAAATAAAGTTGCTGATGTTATTATTTTTCAACCAATAAGAACCTAGTTTTTCATATAAAAGACGTTAATTATGCAGCTTAGGGCATGCCACGCCATACTAAAATGCAACAATGTGCTTAAATTTTGAACGAGTATGTCTAATTTTTATCCTAGGTTTCAATGAGTAATATATATAGTTATTTATTTCATATTCATTTTTAGGTTCTCATGGAGTTATTGATGAGGGCCTATTTCTAGCAAAGAATGGGCGATTATGTTACGCACATACAGATATTGCCATTGGAAATAATAGGACAATAACATGTTTTGATAAGTTGTTGAACGTCATATCTATAGAAGCTGAGAAAGAAAGAAATAAAATAATATTTCTTCGCAGAAGGAACAATACCTGGGATATTGGTGAAATTATGTTGGGTCTTTGGACAAGTTCGATAATATACACAAGTCAAACAGCAATTAAAGGTTAGAATATGGATGAAGAGAAAACAAATAGGAAAGTACTTATTTTATCAATGCTTTCAAATTAAAAATGATTTGTTTTTCATCTTACAGGGTTTTCTTATGACACAGTTCGAAAGACAATTTACTTTGGCTCCCTTGATACTATATTGCGGAATAACTTTAAAGAAACGAATGTCGTGCTCAAAGAAGGAAATCTGATTTCATCGATTTCCATTGATGCCAAAAATAGGTATTTCTGTAAAGAATATCTTATTTGAGAAGTGGACTCTTTAAATTCAATACTAACGAGGAAATTATGAACTTTTAATCGATACTAATCATTCTTTGTATTCAGAAACAGATTTACAATGTAGGTTTTTGCTCAAAATTGGAATGGATTAAAAATATTTGGCGTGATATTCTCCATAATTTAGATTTAAACAACTATTGTTTAGCTATCTGTTACACATGCAGTTAAATTTTTTTTTTACAAAAAAGGTCAGGAATAGAACATATTAACCCTATTTAGATTCACTGGAATGTGAGAAAAAATATGTGTTAATTGGATTTACTAATTAAAATGTGAGAAAAACATATGCTATTTATGCATTATTAGCACAGTGGATATTGAAACACAAGGAAAATAATATACATTTAAAACCTCTAGTAAGTAATTATAGTAGCACTTGTTAGCAGTATACATTGCAGTGTACTTTGTAGGTTCTGTTAAGGAAAATTCAGATATACTGTATTTTGAACATCTTTACAGAGTGAAGTGTCTGGGTGTAAACGAAAAATACAAAAACATTGAATATTGGATTATTTGATAAGAAGCCTATGCTTGCATCACTATTTAAATAGAGGACTTATTTAAATACTCTTAGAAAGGAGATTTTTTCAACCAAGATATTAACTCAAAAAGATCATCATGTTTCTATTAAAGTTTGCATTCGGATGTCATTTAATTAAACTTATCTAATTTATCACTTTAGTTACTAACTTAAGAGATTCTCTTTAGTAATCAGTTATAAATTACATGTATATTACATCCTTCACATACAGTTTACGTAGAGCATATTGTACAAATGAATAATCTTTGGGATTTCCATCCCTCTGGCTACTAGGACCAAATTATCTATCCTTTAATGTCAATAAAGAACATAAAATTCTGGTATTGAATTAAAGCATTTTTCAGTTAAAATGATTTACCAAGAGAAAGTTTCAAAAATGTATTTATCCAAGCCGCAGTTACATGTAATTAACAAAATATATAAATATATAAAAGAGAGATATATAAGGAAAAATACTTTGAATATTTCATCTAGTCAAAAACCAGAGAAGAATTTTACCTTAATATTCAAACTTAAAGATACTGAATACTTCAGAAAGAGAAACTTTTCTTCTAAATAGAAAACCTCTCGCCACAAAATATAGTTCCTCATAAACAGGTTGGAGGAAACGTAAATTCCGCTATAATAGTGGTATCTCACTATTATAGTGAAATTACGCTATATTTCCTGCCGTGGATACCCTCAGTTTCATCCGATAACATGCAAGGCGTTTGAACCGCAAGTCATGGTGGGTATTAAAATGAACAAAAACTGTCATGCTTTCATGTTTTGAATTTTAATAAATTTTCTACCGTTGCGTTTAATAATGCGAGCACTCTTTTTTTAACGGAAGTTGCATTTTTAATATAGCAACCGATGATTGCGGGGATATTTAAGCCTGTTTGAATCTCAATTATTGCTCATTAATGTGCACAAATTGATGTTTGTTGCAATTGTCAACTCGCACTGGAAAGGGTTTATGGAATTAAAGAAGAAAAAGAGTATTTCTGTCTGCATGGTTACGGGTATGGAGGCTCGTTATGGTAAACGGAAAGACCCATTATTATCCGACGCTACCGCGGCCGATCTTTTTGTGCATGGTTGTTTTAGATAGTGAACATGGGAACTGAGAAGTTATTTTTGTAATAGATCAGTATAATAATTCATTGATAACATGTGAAAAATCATAAGAAAAATATTTTTTAAAAATGCTTAAATTTAGAAACAAATTTAAAATGTTATTGTTGTAATGTTTCAATTTCATTGTCATTTCTCAACAAGATATTTGATAATTTTTGACGATATAAAAAGAGTTTACAAAAGTACCATATATAGATATAAAGGGAAATTATGATTTTCCGGTCGCATCATCATGACGTGGTACATAAAGTGAAATTTAATTTTCAACAAGTTAGCGTAGGTTTAATTTAGCGCTGTCTGAAGTTGCTAGTTATGAAAGTTAATATATAAGACATTTAGCGATGTACTTGAATTAGCGGACTCTGTTTTCTACCAAAATAGCCAAATAGAATACAAATCTAAATGTAATATGTTTATAGTATACGCTTCTCAAGATTCTAGTTCAACTTTGAATGTCTTGTACTTCCACTGCATGGATATGCTTTCAAAATTGTGAAAGTACTTTTTCAAATGCTAAATTGTTTGCGGCCGATTTGATGCTTTACATCAATTTTCAATTGTTTAATTGTGGAAAATATTAATTGAGTCAAGGATGTTTTAGGCACTTCTTATGCTGAATATTGAGCAGTGGTGATTGGTTATTTGAAGTTTCCTTGTGGTTTAAACAATAACACAATGGCATAAATCTAAAAGTCTGAAAAATTAATACGTTTAGTGTGATTTTTTGCTATATACTTTCATTTCATATGAATATTTAGATATAAATATTTTTCAAATAGCAAAAAAAAAAAACTTTTAGCTATTTCTGTCAGATTTTAAAGTTACATGTTAATCATTCTTGCCAAAGTGCATAACTATAAAGTGTTAAATAAGATACATTTGTGCGGAGTTAAATAGATTGTTCAATCATAATTATTTGAACATGTATTAAAATAAGGTTACAGGCACTCTTGTAAAATATTCCCGAAATAAATTGAGTTTTTTTTCCCTGAAATAAACAATTAACCAGCTTAAATTAAAAATTAGATAGATTTTCTAGGATCGTTTATATTAGTATTTTTTTTTATTATTTATAATAAATTGATTATGTTAAAAGGATAGAAATCGAGTTTATCAATATACTCTTTTTTATGTTTGCCATAATGTGACTTTCCGTTTACCATAACGAGCCTCCATACCCGTAACCATGCAGACAAAAATAATCTTTTTCTTCTTTCATTCCATAAACTCTTTCAAGTGTGAGTTGACAATTGCAACAAGCATCAATTTGTGCACATTAATGAGCAATAATTGAGATTCAAACAGGCTTAAATATCCCGGCAATCATCGGTTGCTATGTTAAAAATGCAACTTCCGTTAAAAAAAGAGTGCTCGCATAATTAAACGCAACGGTAGAAAATTTATTAAAATTCAAAACCTGGAAGCACGACAGTTTTTGTTCATTTTAATACCCACCATGACTTGCGGTTCAAACGCCTTGCATGTTATCAGATGAAACTGAGGGTATCCACGGCAGGAAATATAGCGTAATTTCACTATAATAGTGAGATACCACTATTATAGCGGAATTTACGTTTCCCCCCAACCTGATAAATGTTTTCAGGACGAAACGTAATCATGGGTTTCAATTGAATATAGTTTTATTAGCATTATAGAATCCACACTCATTGTAAGAACTTAAATATTTTTAGACTTATTTAAAAAGATGTTAAAACAAGCTCAAAAGCTGAGGAGCGAACCTCTTTAAAGAACACCTAACCGCAATTATCAGCCCTATGTATATGAATTTTATAACGATGAGAAAACAAAAACAAAGTTAATATTGAATAAATTTATTCAAAATATTGTTAACGAGTACATGTAAATACAGATTCTAAACTAAGTATTAGCCAGTGAAAAAAAATCACCGAGTTAAAACTAAAATGTCACTAAAAGATAACAAAATGGTCACAAAAATTTGACAGGAAGGTCACTGAAAGATGGCAGAAATGTCACTATTTAAAGTCGAAAGAAAGGTCATTGAAAAATATTTGAAATACATGTAAGTAAACTGAATGGTGACTGAAAGGTACCTGCAATATGACTGAACTAAAAGATTTTGTTTCTTCCTGTGATAAATTTTGCTGATTGATAACCCTTTTTTTATAGAATGATGGCATGGGTCACAACACAGAACTATTTTATTCAAATTTCTGCCCTTGATGGAAGTGGAAAACGAACCTTAGTGAGATCATTGGGAATATATCACATTTTTCTTAGTCCATTTATGGATAGGTACGCTCTGTATCTAGTTGATCAGTTTATTTTTTAATCTTACGCAAATACGTACATCCAAAGTATTGAATGAAATAATTTTCATGGCTAACGAATGGTGTCTATTCCCTATTACTGTAAACCAACTTTTATTTGCGACGACTTTGTTTCGCGATAAAACAGGGATAGACTAGTTCGCGACGATTAGTTTTCGCGATCAAGCCTTTTTGCATCTGTTTTTAAAAGGCAAATATACTATAAGGACCGGTTCGCGGCGATAAATATTCGCGATGACGAGGCTCTCGCAAACTTCACAAAAATTTCTCGCACGTGAATAAAAGTTGGTTTACAGTAATTTGATAATTTAAAAAAAAATGAAATATATTATAAAATTACTTTAATATTTGAAAGATCTTTAAATAATGTAGGCTGTTTTGGACGACTTGTGGGGGTGTAATGAGTGTAAACACAAATGGTACGAATGTAGAAGTCAACAGATTTGCTGATGGAGGATCATTTGATTTAATTATTCACTATAAGGTAATATGATTGTATAGAAAGTAAAGGCTGTTTATGACAAATAACGCTTTACAGTATTTAATATATACAATATAATATATACATTTGTGGTGTTTGTCTATTATATAAACATGCAGAGAGCAAATATCCTATATGTATATGAAGGTATTCAGGTCATAGGTCATAACGTGACTTAATCAGACGGCGCAGTTATATCTATTGGAACATAAATATATAAAATAACTTACTCTACCTTCTTTCCGTGTGGCCAGCCGCATTAAAAATGAACAAAATAACAAAGTAAAAGATTCATCGGCCTTCACAGGATTTGATCACATGACCAAACATTTTCAATTCTCATTGAAGTTTATAAATGTGTCATTTATTTTTTAAATAATATAAAACAGAGCCTATTCCTTCCCTTCCATTCCCTTCGAGAAATAAAAGTTCCGACTGGAAAGTTGTAGTTCATGATCAGCAAGAAGGGTATATATATTTTATTGAATTGAGCATAATGGTGCATTTGAGATCCATCAGGGGTCCAATGTTTAAATTGAAAAAAGGCGAGACTTGTTCATTTCCTATGGGGTTTTTTTTATGATCATTTAGTCTTTCCAAATTTCTACGGAAAGGTCCTTTTTAATTGTTCTTTTAATGAGTTTTCTCCATTTTTTCTACGGAAAGACCTCTTAAAAGCTTATCTTTTATAGACGTTGCAAACGGTGTTGTTGTCAATTTAGGTAACGTCAAAGCGACGTTTTACGCATCCAAAAAATAATATGACGTTACTGTTGTCCTTACATTTTTCATGAAAGAAAAACATAAAGCCAGTTATGTCGTCAAATATGTAATGTAGTTCAATTATTAATTCTCTGACCTTTTCAGTGCGTTTTCCGGAACATAAATATGAACAAACTTCTTCGCCTAGCTTAATATAAATATCAGTAGGTTATCTCTTAACTGTTAAATCTTAAAATACCTGCGAAACGTCTTTTTCAAGTAAAATATCTGGGTATGTCAACGTGTACTTATTAGCTTAACTGCTTAACTCGTTTGAAATCGTATTTAGATTTATCTACTTTTTATTTAATTGACAGGCCTTCAAAACAATTCAACTTTTCCAGAATTAGTTTATTTATTAATAAACACATTCTGATTTCACATACAAGTACTCTGAAGTTGATATCAAAAGGATGCTTGAGTTTCTGATTGACAATTGACAATTTTTGTATTCATGTGAAGCAGAATTGGTGCAAAATCTTATGCGTGAAAAGAAGAAAACACTTGGTGTGGCCTTCAACTCGACATTTAGATATATCGACGACGTATTGTCAATTAACAATGGTAATTTCCATTTCTACGTCTATATGATTTATCCTGGAGAGCTTGAGATGAAAGATACATGTACCATAGAGTTTGACTTATCTGTTTCATACTTAGATATTATACTTGAAAAAGATGTTACTCAGGTATGTTAAGACTACAACCACATATTCTACTTGCCTATATGATATAAAATCATAGTAAGCTATATGACGTAAACTTTAGTGATAAAGATCTCAAAATCGATATCTTAGATTGATTTGAGATCGTAAAAATGAATCGAAATATGCAGAGGCATACCGTAAATCTGGAATTTTTTGCTGTAGATAAACTTTTAGCAAATTTGCGAGTTCATTGCATTTGCAAAAATATTTTTCAGAATTAATCTTGTCGTTTCTCTGTCTATGTACAATCGTTTGGCAAGTTCCGAATGTTGCATGACCTGTTCCGAATAATTATCAATTTAAGAGCTGATAATTAATACATTCAAACGAGTAAAAATAAATTGATACTTATGGACAGAAGGCTTATTTCTGAGTGTTTGAATTATACAGTTTTGATTTTTTGCAATCAGTTTGGTTTCGTTTTCGTACTTGAAAGAGTCGATATTTCTTTATATTTCCATTTCTAATTTTTTTCTCTGTGATAACTGTTTGAAAGTTGGGGGAATTTATTTCTTGATAATTCTGCCGGAATGTACATGTAAATTAGGCAGGTCGATAGGTCAGCAGCTAAGGAGGCCTAATACGCATGCAAATCTCGTGCGCATCTGTCTCTGTGTCTGACGCTAAGGAGGCCAAATATGCATGAAAATCTCGTGCGGCTGCCTTTGTATACCTATATATATTTTGCAAGTTAAAATTGGTGTTAATTTTATCAACTACAAATAAGCCGATGAGTTCCGAATATCCTTGTTGCACACATTCAATTCAACCCTCGATTTGGAAAAAAAAAATGTAGTTTCCAAATATAATTTAACACAAGCGCTTTCTGGATTTCATAATCCGTCTTCAGGTGTACAAATTTGAACTGATTGTACATTTATATTATATATATATCCAAAATGTATATATAATAAATTATAAAATAGCCACAGTGTCCGGCAATGAATGTTTAAAAAAAAACACAAGTTATAAAACGTTAGCGCTTTTATTTCAAATTCTTCAGACGTTTTACTTTAAAAATTTTTAAACATTACTTCCTTCAACACCTGCATACGGAGTGTATACATGTGCATATCTCAGTTGGGTCGATACGCAAAAGCATGTTCTACGTATCGATGAAAGGAGATATCAGCAGTCTCGTTGAAAATCATCGTTTTGGAAGTTCTATGATTGATACAATGACTTTGTCATCAAATACAATTTATCATAAAGTCAAATGCTGACTGTCGTTTTTCATACTAATTGTTAGTCCTTTATTTATACATTAAAATGCGCGGCTAAGATGGGCTGTCTGTAAAATATTAAGAGGCAGTCCACCGAAAAACCAGGCAATGGGTGGCACATCGCATGTTACATTGTATGGATTTTAATTATTTTTTGCATGTAGACTTATTAAAGCAAGTGTTTACACATGACAACATCAAAAAATTTTATAGTGCTCTTCTAGTCCTAGTTTTGGTAAATGCTTATTTTTAAGTGCAAAAAGGTCAACATGAGTGTATAAAAAATACTACCTTTTTATTTTGTTTTATATGCAACAGATACTCCAGAGCTGGATGTGCCGATGGATATTATTTATAGAACAGACTTTTATCTTTTATTTTATGAATGAATAAGACTCCAATTTATACTTCTTTAGAAAAAATTATCTGGTCCAAATTTGAGTTTAGCAAGTAAATG